GACTCATTAATTGCAAACATGATTTCAACTCTTCAAATTTCTCCACATAATCAATGTAAGCCCTTGTGTGCTTAAGCTTGTTAAATTCAGCTATGATTTTACTCTCCTTTAACTCTCCAAACCTTGCTGAAACAAGCTCCAAAAATTGTGCCCATTCCCTTTCAATGTGCTTGGTACTTAGATTCTGAAACCATGTGGATGCTTTGCCCTCTAAATGCATTGAAGCTAGTGTGACCTTGTGTGTTTCTGATACATTTGGGACCAATTTGAAATAACTGTTGCATTTAAGAATCCAGGCTCTTGGGTTAGAGCCATCAAACCTTGGGAAATCAATTTTGGGTAAAGGGTTAATGAATTGACTGCTCTGTGATGGTGGTGTTTGTTGCTCACTGTTTCTGCTTTTGTGAAATCCTTGTTTAAACAAATGTAAATTTGGATTTCCTAGTATTGATCTCTCTTCATCACTGACCTTTTCTCGGTTTGTGTTGAGCAGTTGAAGCTGGATGGAGGCTAATGTGTTAGCCATATGCTCAAGCTTGCTGTTAACATCAGACTTTTGCTCCTTTAATTCCAGATTAATGCCCTCAGCCATGTTCTTCATATTAGAGGTAACCACCTCCAATTTTATATGGAGCTTGAGTTCTGTGGCTTCTCTTTTTAGAGCTTCATTTGCCAGTGACTGATCAATCCTCCTTTGTGCTTCTTGCAGCTCCTTCAACTTTGTGCCTTATGCCATGTCCAAGGAAGGCTGGCTCTGGATACCAATTGTCAAGAACTAGCTTGTATTTTTATATTTTTTTTATAATTTTTGAATGAGATAGATGATGAAGACGTGAGGAAGATGAGAGTAGAGAGAGAGGGTGTGAAGAGAGAGAAAGGGAATAATTTTTTGGCATAACAAACTCCATATTTTCCCTTCATTTTCATTACTTAATCACTTGTTTTGGCCCCTGGCCCACTCTTTTCACTCACATGGGTAAAACACGGTACCACATGCCTAACAAACTCAAATACAATAATATTAAAACTTAAAATATTAAAAGTAATATTAATCTGCATCCTCCACGTGTTGCATGATCTTCACTTGGCACAACTTTGATTGACGACCTCAATGTCTCCACGCATCATCATTTTGAAGTCCCTCTTTTCCTTAGCCAAAACTCGATCGCCTGTCTGAAATGCGACCATTTCTCGACCTTCATACTCAGCTCTCATTTCCTTGATTTCTGCTTCCTCAATTCCCTGCCAATCCATAACAGTTTTTCTTTGTTTATGTTCATTTTCTTGAGTTGTGGAAACTCCGCAACCAAAGATTCGATCTTTCTTCCAAACCTTGCATCTTTCATCATTTTCTGTGTCTGTACGTACAC